TTCTACCATACTGACGTGAAACTCCCTGACTTGATTTGTGTGAATAATCAATTGTTTTGTTGCAGCTGGGGGCCCCACTTCCCCATAATCATCTGAAACATCATCAACCAGGTTGTGAAGTGGGCACTGCAAATGAGATGCTTTGTGTCTCCACTCTCCTCCACACCATCTCTCGGCTGCTCTGCTGCATGTTCCATGTCTACCATTGCTTCTGGATTCTTGTTTCTTGCCCTGTTTCTGCATATTTTGAGGCTAGAGAGATGATTACATGATGATGATTTCCTATTTCGATAATTTACTTTAGTTGTGTGTGTGTTGATTAGCCATTTTGGCATTGTTGTGTTAGCAGTTGTGCTGATATGTAAGTGGTTTTATGATTTAGCAGTTGTATTGTATAACAATGGATGGTTGAGTTACATGTTCACAAATGGCTACTTTTCCTACTTTCACTAAAAATAGAGACTTTTCCTCTTGATTCTCTAATTAGTACTAGATTATTAATGTTAATGTTGATTTTTAGTTTGAATTGATGTGCTGAAATACTATTGTAAAATTCAAGTTCCATTCAATTGTATTGTGTTTGTGTGTGTTCTCGTTTATTTACTATACCTCAAATACTATATTTTAGACGGCAAAAGTAATTTTTAAAAAAGTTCTAACTTCCAATGATATACTGGTTTTGGTTTGGAGTAAATTTTGTACCAGAAAAATCATTGTAAGATCAATGAAGCAAATTAGGTTTGTGGATACTTGTTTTACAACTATTTTCTTGTACTTTTTTTGAACTATAATATAGGACATTTTTTAAAAGTTTTAATTTTTTAAAATATAAAATGTTGGATAAGTTATATATATATATATATATATTTCAATTATACTTTTATTTATTATATTCCATTCAAATAATTAATAAAGATATTTTGAATAAGTCAAATATTATATTTATTCCACACATTAAGCGTACGACTGAAAATAAGTAAAAAATTTAGAAAATCAAAATTTTAACCAACTTTTTTGAGAAACATAAATTGTTTAAGTATGATTTATAGTATGGTTGAACAAGAGTATTTGGTTTTTTTTTTTTTTTTGGATCTCCTAGTCTAATGGTTAAAGTTTTAATTTCAAGGTATCTATCAGACTATATACCTTGTCCATATTTTTCATACACAGTCAACTGTCAAATGAAAGAATATGATAAATAATCATACTCTTATATTAAAATTTCTGCTTAACTCATATTTTCATGATGGACTCAGTCAATAAATTGAGTCAATCATTTAATAGTATCACCAATAAATTGAGTTAGTCGTTAAGTGTACACCTAACTTTTTATACGAAACTAATGTCTAACATCATCTCATAATTTTTTTAGTAGACTTGACCTATTGGTTCTACTCAAGAATCCTTTTATTTTGCTCATGGTTGAAACTGAGAGATTCTTAGAAAGACATTATTAGCAAAGAAGAGATATATCTACTGAGAAAGTATTTAAGAGTTTTGACATGCTTATGAGAAACTCTTTAACTGGCTTGATTTGTGTGAATTATAAATTGTTTTGTTGCAGCTGGAGGACCCTCTTCTCCACAATCATCTCTAAATGAATCATGATCACCATCTCCAACATTGCCAAGTGCTTGCCCTGTTTTTGCCTATTATCTATGGCTTCTAGGTTCATAATCCTATTTTGAATAATCTCTTTGTTTTGAGTTATGCACGCGCATGTGAGTGCGTGTATTGATAAGCCATTTTGGCATTGCTGTAATCGTACTATTATGTGAGTGGTTTGTTAGCTGCAATGGATTGTTGTTGGAGATTATATATGGTTACAATTGCCTATGTTTCCTGCTTCCGTTAAAAAGATCAGGGAGTGAAGGTTTTCATGGTTCAAGATTGGAGACATAATAATTAATAAAAATAATATCATACACATATTTTATGTGTGTGTGTTATTTTTTATCCAATGAAAGTATAAAGGTGTTAAAAACACCACGGTGTGTAAAATTTATATTTTCTAGAAATTTATTTTCAAGTGTTTAGCCAAAAAATATATCAGAGTGAACAAAAGAAATGCCGTTTAAGTGCTCTCTGCCACATAAGTATGCACAATCAATTGCCCTATTTTTTTAATATAAAGTCATGGGTAAATTGTACAAGAAAAAGTAATTAAGGTATGTCTAAACGCATAAAATTTTAATACTAATATGTTGGATTATAAAAAATTTTAATATCTAGATTATCTTTAAAAATATAATGAATAAACTAATCTACATGCCCCTCCATCCCTATATATAAAAAACCTTCTAAAACCTTTTTCTGTCCCTAAATATAAGAAATTATTAGCATATTTTTTTAATAAATGAATCATTATATCCTTATTAAATTGGAAAGAGAAAAAAAATATTCTTATTAATTTACTTTAAAAAAAATTTATTTTTTACAATAATTAAAAGTAAAATTAAAACGTTACTGTATTTTTAATTAAATAATTAACTTTTATTAATTTGTATAATTTAATTTAAAAATATTATATATATATACACACACATAAACGGAGGGAGTATTTATTAATTTTTTTAAATATAGAGTCAAAGTGAATCCTTGAATTACCAATGAATCATTTTAGACTGTTTTCTTTTTCCTCATTGACAGTCACGCACACATACATACATCAAATAGGAGCACTTTCTCTTTCTTATTTATTTTTCCTCAACATTTTCCCAATTTTTAGGCAAACATTTATTTTCTCTTTGACTATTTTAAACATCCCACGCAACCTTGCATCTTCTTTCTCATCGTTTTAAATTTTTTTAGGCAGCTTTTAAAAAAAAAATTCAATTTTTCACTTCTCTCTCTGATTCTTTTTCTACTCACTCGTTTTTTCTTTCGTTAGAACTTTTCCATTTAATCATTTTCTCATCAATCATCTTCCTTTGCAAGGGATGAAGGAATATTATTAAGAACGATCTCACTTTGTTTTTCCTTGCCAGATTTGTTAGTTCGAATTTAAGTTTTGTCATCAACTTCTTTAACTTTGATCATTTCGTTCAAAATTTTATATGTTGATTGGTAAGTTTAATTTCTACTCTTGTTTAAATGACCACAAGCTTTACCTACAATGACTACAAGTTTCATTTCATCTCTCACTTATCTGGTTTTCCACTACTCACTCCAATTTCCAATCCAAAATCTGGTTCTAAACGACCTAACTTGATCTAACCACTAAAATGGGTTAATGGCTTAATGCAGCAAAACAACCCACTTGCCACGTTGGTTGATAGCCAGATCGGTTTGACCGTTAGGTTCGGACCTTAAAACGCCACTCTTGATTTTCTAACTAGTATATTATATATTTATCTTTCCTTTGGATATTATATGCTTCATTTGGGCAAAATATATCTTTAGACAATGTACCATAAAATGGATTTCTTTCATTTTTATTTTGGAAAAGTTTTTAGTCAGATGATTTCTCATACATTGGTTATTTCTTTCCAATGATGCCTCACCGAACATACTCTCTTTTTTATATATACTGCAAACAATCATAAGATATTCTAACTTAAAATTATTTTCTAGTTTTGGAGTAAACATAAATATACTATAATGAAACATTTTGTAAGTAATCTAAGTCTATACGCATATTTATATAACAATTTGATATTTGCAATTTGAAAAATTAATATAAATTTGATAACAATACTATTGATTATAAGCTTAAATACAGTCACAAGTGGTCATTTAATTTACATGCTTTCAGGATCATAGATTTTTTTCCCCCAATAGTAACTCAAATGCTAAAACTAATAATAAAAAATCCAACTAACAATCATTTACTGCTTTTGGAGTAAATCTTTCGACAGAAAATTTTATGAGTGATCTATGTCTAAGCCTAGTTATTGTAAAATTATTATAGAAGCAAATTACATTACAAATTTATCAAACTGAACTTTCTTGAATAAATCATTAACCGTAAGAATTTTTTTTTTATTAAAAAAAGGGATTAAGTCTAGGAAGGTTGACTCTGACTATAACTCAGCAATGTTAGACTAATCAAAGTTCTCGAAGTTCCTTTGAAAGACAAATTCTATGTTCAACATGTTTAGAAATAAAATAACTAAAAATAAAACATAAAACGAATTTGTAGGGTCCAGATGTTAGAATTTCAAGTGTTGGATATTGCGTGCAAAAACACAACAGAGTAAATCTCTACAATTATATATTGATACTGCTTTTCTATAATCATTTTCTCATTGAATATTACTTGATTTCAAATATGGGATTTGACTGATCGATGAATATTCAATTGGAACTTTATTATATTCATTTATATGAATGTAATCTATAAATGTAGCTGAAGCTCTCAGAAGTGCAGTAAACAGAAGATAGGAGATATGAAGATGGGTTTGTTTCTTCTATTGGCATTTTTAGCATTTGATTTGGTGCTAAATGTTTCTGGGAATGCAGAAGGTGAGTGGTCACTTTTGAATTAATGTTTTAGATAGCTTAATTACAAACTTTTTGTATTATTATTTTCTCTTATCCTATTTATAAATTAACCGTAAGAATTTTTTTTTATTAAAAAAAGGGATTAAGTCTAGGAAGGTTGACTCTGACTATAACTCAGCAATGTTAGACTAATCAAAGTTCTCGAAGTTCCTTTGAAAGACAAATTCTATGTTCAACATGTTTAGAAATAAAATAACTAAAAATAAAACATAAAACGAATTTGTAGGGTCCAGATGTTAGAATTTCAAGTGTTGGATATTGCGTGCAAAAACACAACAGAGTAAATCTCTACAATTATATATTGATACTGCTTTTCTATAATCATTTTCTCATTGAATATTACTTGATTTCAAATATGGGATTTGACTGATCGATGAATATTCAATTGGAACTTTATTATATTCATTTATATGAATGTAATCTATAAATGTAGCTGAAGCTCTCAGAAGTGCAGTAAACAGAAGATAGGAGATATGAAGATGGGTTTGTTTCTTCTATTGGCATTTTTAGCATTTGATTTGGTGCTAAATGTTTCTGGGAATGCAGAAGGTGAGTGGTCACTTTTGAATTAATGTTTTAGATAGCTTAATTACAAACTTTTTGTATTATTATTTTCTCTTATCCTATTTATAAATTAACCGTAAGAATTTTTTTTTATTAAAAAAAGGGATTAAGTCTAGGAAGGTTGACTCTGACTATAACTCAGCAATGTTAGACTAATCAAAGTTCTCGAAGTTCCTTTGAAAGACAAATTCTATGTTCAACATGTTTAGAAATAAAATAACTAAAAATAAAACATAAAACGAATTTGTAGGGTCCAGATGTTAGAATTTCAAGTGTTGGATATTGCGTGCAAAAACACAACAGAGTAAATCTCTACAATTATATATTGATACTGCTTTTCTATAATCATTTTCTCATTGAATATTACTTGATTTCAAATATGGGATTTGACTGATCGATGAATATTCAATTGGAACTTTATTATATTCATTTATATGAATGTAATCTATAAATGTAGCTGAAGCTCTCAAAAGTGCAGTAAACAGAAGATAGGAGATATGAAGATGGGTTTGTTTCTTCTATTGGCATTTTTAGCATTTGATTTGGTGCTAAATGTTTCTGGGAATGCAGAAGGTGAGTGGTCACTTTTGAATTAATGTTTTAGATAGCTTAATTACAAACTTTTTGTATTATTATTTTCTCTTATCCTATTTATAAGGTGGAGGATATGATCTTTTAATATTTATAAATCATGTTATTAATTTTTCATCACAAATTTTCCTTTTCAATACCCTCAATCAAATGTTAGTGAGAGAAAGTACATTGTTAAAATATATTTATTTAACAGGTTGAAAATTTATTAAATTTTTGGACAGAATTAATAAGTTTTAATTTTTTTTAATTTTGATAAAATATATTGAAAGTAACTTATGAATAAAATTAGAGGGAGTAAATCTATTTTTTTAATCTGGTTATCCACCTTTGAGTTGTATTATTGCTGGGTCATAAATATTATTAAGGGCATCCTCTTGCAAGTTGGTCTTCATGATTCTTATTTCTGTACATATATCCCATTACAACATGGTTGATATTTGTTTGTTCCCATAAATTGATATAATTAGCTTCTGTTTGCTTCAGTTCCTTAAAAGTTATAGGAATAGTCCATCTCCTAATAATCATCATTCTAATATTAGCATATATTAAGGATGTTTTCACCTAAAAAAATGCTTTTCTCTGAGACAGGTGATGCATTGAATGCATGGAAGACCAATTTGGCTGATCCAAACGATGTTCTCCAAAGTTGGGATCCTACCCTTATAAATCCTTGTACTTGGTTTCATGTTTCGTGCAACAGCAACAATAGTGTGACCCATGTGTGAGTAATATTTCTCTGTGGTTTTGACCATCAATTTAAGATCCTTAGCACACCTAGTGTAAACAATTAACTTGTGTTTTGTCACAGTGATCTTGAAAATGCAAACCTTTCAGGTCCATTGATTCCACAGCTTGGTCAGCTCTCAAATTTGCAATACTTGTAAGTTGAGAATCAAATATAATTGTTAACTTGATTTGCCTCATTTATATGATGCCAACATTTTGCTTTAGAATAATTTTTAGTTGGTATTCTCTTCTGTTATTTCCTTGAGGCTTCTTTAAGGATGATCTTATAAACAGTACTATTATACTGAGTAGCAAGGGTATGAACTTTAGGATATATAATAGGTAAAATGACATGTAAGGACCATCTAAGAATATTATATAATTACAATTAAGAACCTTAAAAATGAAATTTCAAAAAAAAAAGACCATGTAAGAACACTCATCTTCAATATTTTTTCAATAGTCATCTTTAGCATTTTCATTTTTCAATACTATTTTCAATATTTTTTTCAATAATCATCTTTAACATTTTCAATACTATTTTTAAATTTTTTTAGTAATTACCTTTGATATTTTCAATCACTATATCTCACAATTTCAAAATTAAAAAGAATTAAAAGATAACTGTCTTTCAGTATTAAAAAAATGAAATATAAGTATTGAAAACATTTAAAGTGACCACTAAAAAATTTTAAAAAAAAATAAATATTGAAAAGGCTCAAGATGAGTAGTGAAAATTAACTTTGAAAAATGTTAATTTTAATTAAGGATTATGGTTATTTGTTAAAATTTTAAAACTTTAGGATCTTTAATTATAAATAATATTTTTAAGTGGTCCCTAAATGTCACCCTCCCAGTACAATTTACCTGGTCCAGTTGTTAGAATCAGTCAGGCAGGCCCACTGAATTGGATTATTAATTGAGGTTTCATAACATTTTCAATTCAGTTGATTAATTTACATCTCAGGCTCAGGATTCAATATTATTTGCGCGTGATGTAATTTCTGACGTTATGGTTTTCTAATGGTATAGTGATTCAAATCTAAAATATTGATTTGTATCTTACAGGGAACTTCATGACAATAGCATAAGTGGAACAATTCCAGCAGAGCTTGGAAATTTGACAAATTTAATTAGCTTGGATCTTTCCTCCAACAAATTGAGTGGTCCCATCCCATACTCATTTGGCAACCTTCAAAAGCTACGTCTTCTGTATGTCATGCTCTCATTATTCTCTTTGATCTTTAAATTTCATTTGTCTGTTTCCATAATGTGGAGCTTATATGCTGAATTAGTACTGTATTTATTTGAGCCGGGAATGCAATCGGGCTACCATTCAAGTATTTTCTTGGGCTCAATTTTTGAAAATTGGGATTTTTTTTTATATAATAAGACTTGTGATCTTGGCTCTTTTGAAATTTTTAGAGAACAAGCTCGAGTTCGAACTATCAGTTTAAGTCCACATTTATTTTAACTCTAAAAAAGTACTATATTTTATATTTTTGGATTAACTTTAAACTTTAAAAAATGTGTGTACTTTAAAATTATGATTTGTATTACTTCTTTTAAATTTTAGAATATTTTAATTTATTGTTCAAAGCACAAATATATAATATAATAATAACAAATTTAATTTTCAAAAAAACAAAAAATGGCTTTTGGGCTTGGTCATAAGCCCAATCAACAAGGGTTGGTCTTGAAGAAATGATTAATTTTAGAATATTAAGGCTTTTGAGTTCAAACCTACAAGAGTCAAGCTTATACAAGCTAAATGAACTCATTTCTCAATTTTAATATTTAGCTCTACACTATTCCATTAGTTTATTATCAAAAATGCTGATTCTTTGTACTTTTTCAAATAGGCTTCTGAACAATAACAACTTGTCAGGAAACATTCCTATGTCTCTGACTACCGTTACCACTCTACAAATCCTGTGAGTGTTACTCCAACAAGCTAGTTTTCTATAACATAATGCAAACTTAGATATTTAGTTGTAGTTTGCATCTTAAATTTTGAAAGACTAACTTTTGAAGCCATTGTTATTGTTGAATCTAGTGATCTCTCAAGCAACAATTTAACAGGAGATATCCCCATCAATGGCTCATTTGCATATTTTACTCCCATGAGGTTGGTATAAACTATAAATAAGTTTGTTCTCTTTCATGGCAATTTTTTGTGGGTTCATATGTAAATTTTTGTTGATTATCATGTTCCTGTTTACAGTTTTCGGAATAATCCAGGATTAAAACCACAAGAATTCCCTCCACCTCCACCAATGTTTCAGATTGCACCAACCCTTTCAGGTTTGTGAGTGCTTGTTTTACATTAATACTGATGTTTTTCATGCACATTGATTCAACTATCACTGAAGGGACATGATAGAATTATATTCTTTACTTAAGATTTCTACTCATCTTGATTATATAGTTTTATAATGGAGCGAGTCAATGAACTAGAGGTTTCAATCTTTAAAACAATCACAAATCATTGCCAATGAAATAAGTCAATTGTTAAAACAATGCAAGTTTTCAGTCATCTTTTGATGAAATTGATCTATTCATAGTACTACTTAAGAATCCTGTTGTTTGCTTTTATCTTAGTAGAGAGTGAGGTAATATTCTTTGACATACATGAATAGAATTAAACTCAATAAATGTGAAGATACATATTAATTGATAAATATATTAAAAGTGATATCAAATAAGAACGTACATCATCTATTTTAGTTTATAAGATATTTTTTAACAAAATAGAATATACCACTACAGTTTTTTTGATACAATATACCGTTGAAGTTCATTAATTATATTTTATAATTTTTAAAATATTTAATCTAAATTTTAAAAATATCCTTAATTTAATATAACTTTATTTATGAAATATTAAATAGAGAGAGATGAAAAAAAAGATAGATAATTTTGGAACAAGTGTAATAAATAAAAATTTATTTTTGTCAAAATATTTTATATTTTAAATAATAGAACACCTTAAAAAATGTCATATAAACAAGGATAAAGAAAGTGACACTAAATTTTAACAGTACTGCCAAGTTCTAACATGCCAGTGTGAACCTCTCTGTACCTGAATTGATTTGTGTGAATTATCAATTCTTTTGTTGCAGCTGGGGGCCCCACTTCCCCATAATGATCTCCAACATTATCAGCCAGGTTGTGCCGTGGGCCTTGCAAATGAGATATTTTGTGTCTCCACTCTCCCACCAACATCTCTTGGAAGTTCTGCTGCATCCTCTGTCTCTGTCATTTCATTCTGAATTCCTAGTTTGATAATTTTTTTGAGTTGTGGGTGCGTGTGTAGATCAGTCATTTTGGCATTGTTAAATGTGTGAGCAGTGGTACTGATATGTGAGTGGTTTAGCAGCTGTATAGCAATGGATGGTTGAGATTACAAGTGAATACTTTTCCTACTTTCACTAAAAATGGATAATTTCCCTCTTGGTTCTCTTATAATTACTTAATTACAAAAATATATCTTTAATTTTTTTTAAATTTAAGATAAAGTAGCAAAGTTAGCCACATACTATTTTTTCAAAAGTATCTACAACTTAAACTATCAAGTGATGCGAATAAATCCTTAACTTTCAAAAATAGAGCATCCAATAGCCTGCCGTTAACTTCAATCGACGGGTATTATTTAGGCTCACAATGACATGTGGCACTGCACATAAGTACAAGTAAAGGTGTAAATTTAACTAGGAACTATTTTTCGAAGAGCACAATGTAGTCTCTATTATTATAAATGAACCATCCAACACTTTCCCATCAATTTTGACTAAACACTATTTGTTTTCAAACTTATGAGACTCACAATGCATCAATCTCTCCAATCTTTTTATCTTCGTTCTTAGTCTCAACTCAAGAAAATGAGGTTTTCCTACGCGTAGTAAAATCAATCTTCTACTTTATTGATATCATCCTCATAAATGTCTTTAGATAAAAACTCTTTGAACTTTTTCTCTTTGAGCTAAAACTGAGGACAAAAGTAAGAAAATTGAAGAGATTGATATGTTATAGGCCTTAAAAGTATGAAAATAAATGACGTTTATCAAAATTGATAGGAAGATGTTAGATAGTCCATTTTTAATAAAAAACACTACCCAGTGCTCTTAAAAAAATAGTCCATGACTAAATTTGCATCTTTACGCATGATAACATGAATTGCCTGTGGAGTTTCACATATTATTGTGGGCCTCATATAACGTTTGTCAACTGTAGGCTACTAGAAAAAATAGTACATGGCTAAATTTACAACTTTACTATTAAATTTATGAGATTTTATTTTATTTTCTTAATTTTATAAGGTATTTTTTCAATCATCTAACTTTAATATTGTTGGTTATGTTAACAAAAAAAAAATACTAACATTGAATCATTAAATATCGGCAAAAATATTTTCAAAAAGGTGATATATTGATTTTAATTTTTATTAAAATAATAACTAACACAAGGAAAAAAATTATTAATTATATATCAATAACATCCTGTATCATCTAAATGTGTTCAATTAATTTTATATGAGATAACTGAAAAATTACCGTTGCTAAGATGAGATAACTGAAAAAATATCTTATAAAATTAATAAATCAAATCAAAACTTTATATAAAATCAAAGAACTAATAATCTAGCATTGATGTATTTTTATGGGCGCTATTTAAAAGGGTTGATCTCTCTTAAGCTCTTCATACACAGCTCTACAAACCGAACTCTGGAATGATATTTAAAAATTTAACACTGCTGTCATATATGCTATACCCACTTAGCTTGATTGCACTTTTACTCTTGCATCTCCACCAAGTGGGGTCAAAGTGGATTCTTAATTTTTTTTGACCCAAAGAACAGAGTCAATTCTTAGTGCATGAAGGTTGACTTTGAATATTCCACAGCAATACAAGACGAATCAATATTTTTATTTAGTGTGTATAATATGGCTGAAGCTCTCGGAAATGTAGCGGAAGAAGATCGGGGATACGGAGAGAGTGACTTCGCCAGTGATGGGTTCGTTTCTTCTTCTTCTTCTTCTCGCGATTTCAGCGTTTGGTTTGGTGCTAAATGTTTCTGGCAATGTGGAAGGTGAGTCATGTCTTTTGAAAATACTCTATGGGGGGGTTTTAATTACTACTTCAGAAATATCTTGTTCCCAATATTGAATCCATGCTTTAAATGAGCTTAGTTGCGGACGTTGTTGCTTTATTCTGGGTTAAGTCATAAATACTACTCCGGAGTACTAGTATTGATAAAGATTTGGATCCAAAATGGCATGCATTTACTCACTCAATAAATATCATATATAACACGATAACAACAGCACAATTTAATCAAACTTTTCTCAAATATTTTGTTATAGAGCACTAAATCTCAAATTTTTAGAATGGAGGACATACATAAAGAGGGACTGATCTGAGGGTTGTTTTGAATTTCTGGAAAGAAATTAGGAGGAAATGTAATAATTTTTAAATATTGATAAAATTTAATAATTATAATTTAAACACTTACTGAGAGAGTGAATTTAGATCACTCACCGAATCTAAATGAAATACTAATGACCGAACTTTCATTTTAGGAGTATACTTTCGTAATATTTCAGCTTTGCGTTCTGTACTGTGTTTCCTCGATCACAAAGTGGCAAGTGCTATTTTAAGTTTCTTTTCATTTTTACTGCTGGTTTAAAGTTTGGGGCTAGAGGGTGTAGTTGATTCTGATTTTTTTGTGGATGATCTGTAGCAAGTTAGCCTTCACGTTTCTTTTTTCATTGTTGACATTTCTGTGTTGCCATAAATAGATGTAACTTGTCATTGTGTTTACCTTGTATAAGACAAAACATGATTTGATATTAGGTATGCTTTCGCCTAAAATTTGCTTTTTTCTAAGACAGGTGATGCACTCAATGCATGTAAGATCAACTTGACTGATATTTACAATGTTTTCCAAAGTTGGGATCCTACTCTTGTAAGTCCCTGCACTTGGGATAATGTTACCTGCAATAGTGACAATAGCGTGACCCTTGTGTAAGTAACTTACGCTGCGTTTGATCTTAACTAGAATTTTTTTTCCATGCGATGCACGAGATATGGTGTTTTTAGAATGCTATATTCGTCATACTTATGATGAAGAATTATATTGTACATATAAAATTAGTTGGATTCAGTGTTTTGGTTTTTTATATATTATGTGCTTCAATACTATATTAGTTGTACACTATAAATGTCAAAAATGAGATATATAGCAACTTCAATATTTTAAAATAAAATTTTAAATTTTTTAAAAATAATTAAATCACTATAGAACTATTGTCATTTATCTCAAATTTGAATTCACTGTATGACCTAAATCTACTCATTCAATAAGTATATCTATAAAACACGTGTTTTTTTTTTTCAACTCACATTAAATGTTTTTAATGACAATTTAAATATATTTATATTTAAATGGTAATTTAAATATCTATTATTTAAAGTGATTGTTGGGTAACTCATTTCAAATTTTAAATTTGTAAAGTTGAAATTTTATAATTTGTGAAAATTAAATTTGTAAATTCTCTGTTTATATTTTTAATAAAATGTTAATTGCAAGTATATTTTAATTCAAAAATTTTTAATTTCAAACATAATTATTATAATTAACTAATTTTTTAAACTGTGTGAATTGATTAAAATTTACTCATATATAAAAGCATACATAAATAAGTTAATTGATTTAAATAATATAAATATTTTATTTTATAATTTATTATTTAAATATATATATTATATACAATTAATTATTTTATGCATATACAAAATACAATTAGCAAATAATAAATCTCCTACATTTATAAAAAGAAATATTAGATCTTATATATATTATTTTTTTATGAGTCTCATACCTGTAAACATTTTTATTGTGGGTCCCACATAAACTATTAATACACAAAGTATAAATTAAAAAAAAAAAAAAAAAAACATTACAGTATTATTCATTTAAATGTAGATGAACAGTACTGTAATACTCTATATATATATATATATATATATTAGTTAAGATTCTTACTATACATAGTGTAATTAATTTGTCTTTTCTTGTCACAGTGATCTTGCAAATGCACGCCTTTCAGGTGAACTTGTTCCACAACTCGGTCAACTTTCTAATTTGCAGCACTTGTGAGTTGAGAATTTGATTTATTGGTGACTTGATTTGCCTCATTTTTCTGATACTATTATGTTGTTTAAGAAATACTTCTTATTGCTATTTCTTATTGATAATTTCCTCTTTCTTATGCATGATAAATGGCAAAATGTGGCAAGAAAATAAACTTAGATTATTTAAGATAAATTGGTTCACTAGTAAAAGAAAATCTTTATAGACTAAATTTTTTAAAATTTGATAGTATAACTAGTTTACATTGATATATAAAAAGTTTATCATTGATATATAAGTATTTTATCATTAAAAATTTAAAAAGTTACAAGGAGTTTATCATTAATATAAAACAGTATATTATTAATAAATATAATAAACCGATTATAATATAAAATATAATAAATGTTGAATTATTTTTTAGTTTAATTTTATAACATGAGTTATATCTATAAAAGGAATGATTTTTTATATGCAACCAAAGGTAATTAGGCCCTTCTTAGTAGGATTGAGCTGTGTTTAAGAGAATTGGGAAAAAAAGAAGAGACAGTACAATGGAGAAATATTCTTATGGAATTTTTTTTCCTTAGAAAAAAGTATCTGATAGATAGAAAGAATTAAGAAATCAGAATTTTCTCCCCTTTTCTTTCTTCTGTTTTTTTATTTTTTTTTTTCATTGAGAGTTTTGTATGAAACAATAATAGGAAAAATAAGATCAAGAGTGGTCGAATGGCATGAATAACCATGTCCAAGGGCCAGCATGACAAAAAGTATGACCATTTTTTTAAAATTTTTTAATATAATTTTTAAAACAAGATAAAAAGAAAATTCGTTTGATCATGTTGATTTGAAAAGAGTTTTAAAATTAAAAAAATAGTCAATAGTGATTATCATCAATGATTAATGGTGGTACGATTGAGCATAATTGATAGTAAATTTTAATAATTAAATGAAATGTGCTTTAAAAATAAAAATAATAAAAACAAAAATAGTCCTAAGATGGGATCTTTATAGTTTTTGTTTTTAAAAATAAAAAATAAGAACAATTCAAAAAATATTTAAATTCAAATCACTTTCATGTCCAAATGATTTTTTTTTTTGGAGCACGCTTGAAATCCTGGTTTGAGAACAAGTTTCTTGTTTTTTGGAACAAACAAGTAAAAAAAAAAATGTTCGGTGATATGCTTTTAATAGTGTTTTGAAAAATAAAAAGTCCCATAATATTCTAGAAAATAAAAAAAATAAAAATACCTTTTAAATATTTCAAGATTTTTATTTTGAAAAA